AAATATAGACCTTTCAACCTTATCTGACACATAAATATACAAATAAATGATGCAAATGCCAATATAAAATGGTCAAATCATCAAAGACATTGTATACTCCTCAATTTTTGACAAAGCCTTGACAACTAAATGTAAACAGGCTACAATAATGCAAGACTACATTCATATTCATGTCAATACGAAAAGAGAAAGAATGAAGAAGAAAAAAATACAGAGAAGGAAAAAAAATGCATGTAATGAAACATTTGCAAAATTATTATCAATCAGTAATCCTCAAAAGTACTTGGGAACACAATACTGAATACAACAATAAACAGATGACTATATTGCAAATTACTCAGAGAAAAATATGAGTTGGAATAACCTACACTCAATTAATATAACCAGCAAGCAATGTACACGGTACTGAGTACATCAGTTCACAATGAACAGAATAAAAGTTGCCATAGTTTATTCACTGTTTGGAGTCTTCTTTCATTTTTTCTAGGATCTTGTACGTATTCCTTGAGAAGATGTAACTAATGCCTGAACTTAGGGTGGTTCCTGCAGTCACCCAACTGGAAAGGAAGAGAAGATATCAAGGTTTAAATATTGACATGCAGTAAAAATTTGTTAGGAAAATGTATTTAATATAATTGTCTATACCAATGTTTGTTGCCATTTCTCTGTGCAGTTTCCATATAATAATACTTCTCTGTATGAATTACATGTAACAATATTTCTATATATGATTTCCATGTTACAATATTTCTATATATGACTTCCTTGTTACAATATTTCTCTGTATGATTTTAATACAATATGAAATATATAACAATATACATTTTTCATTGCAACTTTGTATATTAGAATATAGTGTACTGTGTTGTACTCACAACTTGCCCTTATGAGGCATACTAGTACTGATGAGCAAAATTTCAGTACAGTTTACTCTCAATTGTACATAAAATGGTAAATGGCTGATCGTGGATAACCAGTTGGCTATTCATTGCACCAGTTATGAGTGAAAGTGCAGTCATTCAGGTGTTAACACAATAAATGTAATATTAAGTTCCCATTTGCACTTGGCTCATTCAGTATGCATTGACTTCAGGTTCTGATACCTAATTATGACTGCAAAACAAATGCAACTATCAGAGAATGACAAGTTCCTGACAAGATTATGGCACAGGGTATGTCATCTGGTGGCGTGATCTGAAACTTGGACCACCAAAGCCTCTGCATGGTACCAGGCCATTTGCACTCAAGAGGTAAACAAGTTTTAACTTAATTTAAGCAAATAAAGTGAAAAAAACATGAAAAGTGTAAACACTCATAAGCCTATAGCTAGTAAATCAAACAAGCAATGTATAAAACATACCAAAATCCCCCAATTCTCAAAATTAAATCGTCAAAAACTTAAAAGCGCCATAACTACTAAAACTTTAACATACCTAGCTAATGTTACTTACCAGAGGGCAGTCAGAAGGTAGTGGTCTGTGAAGGAGAAGACTGGAGCAGCAAGGGAGGCAGTAATAAGACCCAGCTGAATGGCAGTGTTAACTTTGCTTATGGTCGTTGGAGCCAGCTGGGCCGTGGCATGGGTTGCATCAAAGTAACGAGAGATGGTTTTCTGTTGGGTAAATCATTGTTCCCACTGAGAAGATATTCCACAATAATATTTCTGTAGTTATTCTTCTTCCAAGAATTTCCAGTCAGTACTCTTCATGGTAAAAAGCAAATTGGTCTTCAAAAAGTTAACATGTTAATAAGCTGATCATAATCAAGACATCTAATTTTACATTAAAGCTCCATAGTTACATTTCTAAAAAATGATATCCATTACTCTATATATATCTGAAAAAGGACAGGAGGGGATGATGGAGAGACTGAAATTCTTACCGGAGGTGGCAGGCTTTTGTACCGCACATAGGAAGCACCACCAATAATGAGGACATCACGGTAGATAATCAGTCCAGTCAATGGCACTGCCAAAGTAAACAGTTATCACCCATGTTGACAAGCAAGAGAATGTGATTAAAACATAAAATTGCATTCTGTAATCCACTCAAATTGCTTGGCCCACGTTACCACTCTATCAGGCACTCTATAATCTAATATAAAAGTCTGTAGTAATAGTCACACAAAGATCACCAAATATGAGCACAACTACTCTAAAATTGCAGTAAGTATAGAGTAAATAGCAATTAAACTGCAGGCACTGGATCATAAAAATAAATAAATCATCAGTTCTAAAAGGGCATAAACAGCGCATTAATCTTTGAACTTTATATAGACTTAGAACTCCCAGTCTTATAAATACATATGTAATCTTAAAAGCATATCAATTATTAAGTATCTGATACTTCCAGAAATGAGGAGGTTGTATTAACCCTTTGTAAACAGATAAATGTACTGCCTGGTGTACTGTCTCCACAAGTACTCAAGAAGTCAATTAGTAACTCAACATGACTTCCTTTAATTTCCTCATTCATTGATTATTTTTCTTTTCCTATGCTAATAACATCCATTTCTTAATTATTATTACTGGGATGATTATTGCAACGTTCTTAAAATACTAATAGCAATATCAATTAAAAGAGGATCTTTCCAAAAGTCATGGCAAAGGATAAAGAGGTGATATAGGTAGGACAAGTAACAGACCCTTTGGTGATGAAATAATTGTGAAGCCATATATAAATAAACTAAAATCACAGTGGATAGGGCATGTAAGCCAAGCCATCCCAGCAGAGAGTTCATTAACAAGATCAAACCATAAATATTATCACAAAGGCGGTGTTTTAGAATTACTATAATATCTCGATAACACAGATAATATTGAATGAGACTTGCTATAGCGAAATAGATATAGGTAAAAAAAAAAGGAGAAAATGGTAATAATCAACATACCAATGACTCCTCCAAATTCAAAACAAATAAAGTATTCATTAATATTGGCACCAAACAAAAAACCAACCACCCGATGCCACGTCAAACAAACTCCTAGGTCACCTACGTGGAATAAGACCGACATAAGTAAGGGAGAGGAAGAGCATGGCGACCAAGACCTTGTCCGCGAGGGGGTCTAGGAAGCTCCCGAGACGCGAGGCCTGGCTTGGGAAGGTACGGGCAATCCATCCGTCCAGCTGTAAGAAACGGGTGTGATTAATTGATGAGCATAAATATTTTTCATGACATCTCCCCACTCATGATTCAGGTTGGAAAGTATATGTTGATTTTTAATTCTATAAACTTGTATCTGATGACAGGTAACTGGATTTATTCTATTCTCATTTACATCTGAAGAATGACATATACAAATATCCATATCTTTAGTTAATAATTTTATGTTCTGAAATGATAATAGATATCAAAGTGAATTCAGATCTTTCATTGCAGAGTGATGTAATGGGGAGGGAAGTTTGTGCCCTCTGACCCTTACTTAAATATTGAACACTCCACTGGTGACTTGTCTCGGTTAATAGCAAACTATAAAGGTAAACAATTTAACCCAATGCTGCCGGAAAAATGCTGAGCCCATTTTAGAATTTTTTTGTGAAATGTCTCTGCACATAGATAGCTCTGCAAGTGCTTTGCCACTATGGAGTTAATTAGTAGCATGATAATGACTATGTTATTGACATTATTGACTGCAATATAACACAATAATAACACAAAATAACAAGATAACATAAAATGTTTTCGAATATCAAGGAAAAGGGTAAACGGGCAAGACAGATAGGACTCGTAATTGGCTCATTGGTGAATCAGTACTTGTGGAGCCATCTATGTGTAAGAATAACTAATAAAATAAACTCACAGTGGTCATGGCATGTGCATACATGCCATGCCCATCAGTTTTGGGTTAATTAAACCATTGTCACACACTTGTATGTTATTTTTATCAACTTAAAAAATCCATTAGGGATTCTAAATATAAATACTTCTATATATATATATATTTTTTAAATTCAAGTTTACAACCCTAATCATTTAACCTGTACAGTGTAATGCAAAGTTCAGGCTGCTGGTCACGAAGATAGCAACCACAGCTCTGATTGTATCAAGGATAATGGGTGTAAACCAAAAGCCACCTGTAATTTAGATGATTTATAAACTCTAAAAGCTAAAAAAATATGGTATTAACCCATTCGCACCGGGTGTCACGTATACATAACGTGCCCACTGTGAGTTTACTTGTTTAATTGTTTTTACACATAGATTGTTACACTTGTACTTGTACTGCCTGTCTTGCCTGTTTACCTTCTTCTTTAATTCATGAAAATATTTTACGTTATCTTATTTTGCTGTTACTAATGTTTATAACATTAGAGTAATTATGATGTTTATAATAAAATAACCATCGATATTCATAGCACTAGTAAAAATACATTTTCCTGCCAATTCAAGTAAAGGTGAAATTAGGTAAGGCAGAGCCATCTAGTGTAGAGAAATTTCATAAAAAAAAATATAAACAATTAACACAGTATTTTCCCCATTTTTTGTTCATTTTTACCCGGCGCAAATGGGTTAACATCCAGGAATTCACCAGTAACATCTATAGCAAAAATAACATTATAACTCTCATTCAAAAAGTTGGTTTCTTAACCCACTGCCATCAGGAAAATATAGTGTTCACTATTGTGTTGTTCTGTGAAATGTCTACACAAATTCGGCTCCACAAGTGCCTAGCTAACAAGGAGTCAATCAATAGACCACATGACCTCACCTACTTTCACCTTTCCTTGAGTATTTGGGTAAAGTCTTAATTTTTTCTTACTAATGCTATCAATATCAATGATGCTATCATTATTATAGACATCATAATATTATAATGTTATTGACATTACTAATAAGAATACAAGTTAAAGGAAAATATTTCCAAAAATCAAAGGAGAGTACACAGGTGAGACAGGTATTAATAGTAAATAGCTAAATTGGTGAATAAGCACTTGTAGAGCCATCTATCTGTAAAAACAATAAACTAAACTCACACTGGGCATGGCACTACGTACATGCCAACCCTGGCAGCATTAGGTTAATGAGTAACAATGCTGATCAGTGACAACCAAGCCTTAAAAAAAACTTTGTATCTAGCAATACAATACAATAATAAAACGCCTTGCACACATACCAAATCCGTAAACCCTGCAAACATGAACAGTCCAAGAGCCCAGTTGTAATCGGCCGAGAGGACTAAGTGACACAAGTACGGCGAAAAGGCAATGCGGCTGACACACAGGAGGTTTGGGATGGTCCATATGTTTTCACGCTGGGGATATGTGAAGGAGATATTAGCAGGTTTTCAAGTCCTCCTTAGAATAAGAAGTATATTCCAGTACCAAAATCTTTCTGCATGCTGTAAGTTATTTGCATATTAGATCAAAGAAACTTACATTTATTTCCTTATAAAAAAATCACCATATTTTATTTACCTACTTATTCACCTATTCACATTTACCTTTTTTTCCATCATTCAAACACAACTAAATACCTCAATAATAGCATCCATCCTTTCCCTGACTTTTGCTTTCTTCTCTTTGATGTCATCTAACAGGTCCTGGCCAGCTTCTTTGAACTGGTTCTTCTTCTCCCTTACAGCCTCCCATGTTGCTACTGGCTGTGAATAAAATGCAACACTATGTTTAAACATATATACATAAGTACACATTTATATATGCACCTTTATAAAATCCAAGAGGCTTTGTTTTGATAAATATGTTAATACGCAATAATATAGGCCTAATACTTTTGAGTAATAATAATAACAGTAACAATAATAATGACAAGAGCAATAATGCTCATAATGAAACATAACATTTATGACCTTTCTTTTTAGCTACTCCTCCTTTATGGTTACAAATAAAAGCATTTCAAATTATGGCACTCTGAAACAGCCACTGCTTTTACTAGTGAAATGCATCTGTCAAAGTTTCAGTGTGATTTGAAAGAGAATTCCTGATCCAATGATTTCAATACAAGAAGCACCAACACTAGCAGAAGCAATGTGTGTCAATCAGTTAGTGGGAAAGCTACCAAAGAAAGAAAGAAATAAAAAATAAATAAATAAATAAAGAATAAATAAATGGTGTTCAAAATTATATGATATGCAAATGAATTACAAAAAGATCTTGAAAAGCAATTTACAAATTCTAGTTTTTTTTTTTAATCTTTATTTGAATATGTACTTGATGTGACTTAATAATATCACTTTCTAACAGATCCTCTGAATTGTGTAAATCTATTGAAATTATCCTCAAATGATTTTATCAACTGTCATTATCTTCTTAAAGCTCCAAAAGGGTAAATCAATGTGTGCCAGATTTACTAAAAACCTTTAAAACATACTGAACTATATAATAAACCTTGTTTTTATCTATCTATTAATATATCTTACAATTAAAACTCTAGAATTCATACTCATACAGATGCTTTCACAAAGACCCTCCATGCCTAAATGTTATATGTAAAGATAAAAGCTTGTATAACCTGGGCAACTAATTCCCTGTTGATAGAGAATCATCAGTTAACTAGTGATATTAGAAACAAAAACAACTGCAAGACAAGCATATTGCTCTAATGGGGTAGAACTTAGGACTGTATCAAGAATGTTGGTGTGAGAAGTTAACTGACAAGAACTGGCAGGCAACCAGTGACATTTTGGAGAAATTTCTGGCAGGTATGCTGTCAGGTGCCTATTGCCTCATCACTACAATTTTTACCCAACAACTAGAGAGGAGTAGTTATTGATTATGGCCCTTATTAGGCACATCCAATGAGACCCAAGTGCCAGCCTATACATCTTATATGTCCCAAGAGAGGCTAACAAATCTCAACCAAGTATATTCTAGCAAGATAGAAGTTGGCCTAGTTCCTCTGGATGTCCATCTCGCCCAGCTCTTCAGCCAGGTGAGCAGGACGAGATGATGTCACAAAAGCATTTTTCATATAAACAAAGACGGTTGCAGACAATCATACGATACTCAAGGGTAATTCTATGGCCCGTTTTAGTTATCAAAGGTTAAAACAAAGAATAATAAAAGTTTACTTTCAAGCAGGTTGCCTTATAGGAGATGATGGCCTGAGAAAGTTCCGAATACGCCCTCACTGTCCTGCTGGTCCTGTCAAGTTGTCTGGACGAGCAAAACAAGGTGTTCCAAACACACCACAAACCCCACAAATTAACTCCTTGGTGGCCGAGTACTTCTGGTGCCATCTCTGTGCAGCAAAATTCCCCCAAACTACATAACAGTACATAATACTTGGGCCCATAGGTTAAGGACTGATAATGCCCTGAACAAAACCCACGAATACTGCCTCCGAAGCTCTTCAATTCTATCCCTTTTCTTTTCAACGTGGCTACATAGAGGTACTTGGGATCCCCAGCACGTGTATGTATTGTCTAATGGTTAATTCATCGGTGCTTCCATAAAAGATCCCTGAGAATTACAAGAGGATCTGGCTAAAACGCAACAAATATAACCACAAGGATAAAACACATTGAAAGAACAATCCGGTATCTTGAAGGCACCTTAACCTCGAGTTCAAACCTCGAACCCATAAATAAAAGACGCTCCCGGCAAATGAGAAAATAATAATAAACCCTTTTCCACGCACCGGACTTTGCTCCCTTGCCTCCCCGGCCTCTCTGCTCGCGTCGCCCGTCTGCAAGCACCTCACTTGGCATGGGTGCTTAATAGGCGCATTCCTCCCAAGGCCGACTCCCTCTCGAGCCTCGGGGCTGAGGAATCGGTAGCCGAGGCGAAGAGGACTCGGAAAGGAGCGGCCGAAGAGAGCTTTCGACGGGAAATTCCGCGGTTCTCCCCAGGAATGGTATTCTCGCCAAGGTAAACTCGGGACGTCCCTTTGCGAGGGATGAAGGCACGACAGCGCCGGCAGACTCGCAGGAAATGTTGCTCTGGTTTTCCTCCTCTGCTGGATGTTCCTCTGGATGTTGTGTCTGAGTAGGGAATGCGCGAATCTCTCGTTCTGCAGGATTGTTTTGGCCAGAGCAGACGATGTCATGTAGGCCGCCATGGTACTGCCGGACCAGGGATCCCGTGTGTAAAGAGACGAACTTTTTTCTTTCTTTCTCTCTCTCCATGGAATAATAAGAGAAGGAAGCTGTTTGATTTATGATAAACTTTACTCTAAATTTTATGCAAGTATGTCAATCATTGTAGTTATATGTATAAAAAGTTAGAAACGATAGGTGTCTTTTTAAATATTTGTACACCATTGGCTGTATTAATATATATAAGTCTATTGTTATAGCATATTATCATAAATATAATATCTATCTTAAGATATTAATAAAATAGATAATTTGTATAAGATAGTGTATTCATTCGATATTCCCTTTTTAGTTACCGCAGGGGTAAAGCATATAATATTTTGATCTACAAGGTATCACATGATTACCCATCGCATACTAAATAGCAATTTGAAAATCATACATTTTCCATAAAAGACGTTCAATTCATAAGAGTTTTCGACATTATAAATGCTTTCTACGATTTATCTTTGTACCCGCAGTCGCGCAACAGCTGATGTGGACGCAGCAGACACACGACATTTGAGCTTCTAAAATACCCAGTGACAGGAATCTAAATCACGATCTATCGACGGCCCTACCATTCAATACCATATAATGGCACATTTATGAGAGAAATAATACGGAAGAGAGCTGGGAAAGGGCACAAAAAAGGCCCAAACTTGTGAGATTAACGGGTCTCATGGCCACAGACAGGCGAGTTGTCAACACACCAAATATTCTATCCATTTAAATCAACACAAAAATATGAATTCGAAAGTGTCACAATACTTCATTAACAAATACAAGGTATGGAAAACCCACCGACGCTTGACACACTAAGCTTGCTGTTGTTTTTTTCCACATTAATGCATGGTGTGAAGTTCTCTCCTTAAAAAGGGACTCGAAAAGCACACAGCACCTCGTAGAATGGCCAAAAAAGCAGAAAATCGGCAGAAATTCGTAACGTTGCAACTGCCACGGGAGCGAATGTCTCACCTGCGATAAAGATTCGCTTCCCTCAGACCTCTCCTGCTCTCCTTCGGGATAAGTGAGGCGCTCGGTGGTTTGTGGTGTGGTTGTGTGTGTTCTCGAGGAGGTTTAACGTAGACTACAACTATGGGTGCTCCTGATATACAGCTGGTGAGTTTTTAAAGGGAATTAGATAATTTTGTATTGTGTATTTTGATGTTGAAAAGAGTCGGTTAAATGGTATTCAGCTGTTTTATATAGCTTAGGTGCTCATTTTTATTTATATTTTTAGGTATTGGTTGGTTTTGGGTTTGATAGGTCGAGTAATTTGATTTTGGAAATAATTTTGAAGTTTATTGATTCAGTGTTAAACGTGTGTAATAAATTGTGGTTCGGAACATATGATGTGTTATATATGTTATATACTACTGTGAAGTATAGTATAATGTGTATGAAAACTAAATGTGTAAAGTTAGAAATGTAGATATGATATATTAAAAGCTCTTAATGAACATGTTTAATAGTTCTTATTGATAACGAGTTACTGTTCGTAATTACTAGTCAGGTGAATAAATTTATCTCCCTAATTACCCTACACACGTTGCCAGAACTCTGAAGTCTTCCATTTCATTATCTTGTTTATTACTCAACTCGCGAATGGTATAGAAACCTCCACAGGAAGACTTGTCGAATGTAAATTACGAAATATTGTTGCTGCACCCAAATGTAGTCACGAACTAGTTATGGTTTAAATGGATTAGTAATTTATAGTTGGTTATCTGTTTTAAATGTCTTTGGAAGAGCAGGGTCAGGTCGTAGGCCTATGGGTCACGGTAGTACCCTTTCCCTTTTGTAAAACTTGCTCCGGCCCCCTACTTACATTTTCCCTTTTACGTGTTACTCATTCTCTCTCTCTCTCTCTTTCCTTCCCTCCCTCTCCTTTCCTCCCTCGCTCCCTCTCTCCCTCACTCTCTCTCTCTATCTATCTATCTATCTATCTATCTATCTATCTATCTGTCCCCTTCCCTCCGTCCCTCTCTCCCTCTTCTCCCTCATTCCCTCTTCTCTTTCATTCCCTCTTCTCCCTCCCCTCAACTTCCCGCATTATCACTGGACCCTTTATCTATCTATCTATCTATCTATCTATCTATCTATCTATCTATCTATCTATCTATCTATCTATCTATCTATCTATCTATCTATCTATCTATCTATCTATCTATCTATCTATCTATCTATCTATCTATCTATCTATCTATCTATCTATCTATCTATCTATCTATCTATCTATCTATCTATCTATCTATCTATCTATCTATCTATCTATCTATCTATCTATCTATCTATCTATCTATCTATCTATCTATCTATCTATCTATCTATCTATCTATCTATCTATCTATCTATCTATCTATCTATCTATCTATCTATCTATCTATCTATCTATCTATCTATCTATCTATCTATCTATCTATCTATCTATCTATCTATCTATCTATCTATCTATCTATCTATCTATCTATCTATCTATCTATCTATCTATCTATCTATCTATCTATCTATCTATCTATCTATCTATCTATCTATCTATCTATCTATCTATCTATCTATCTATCTATCATTATCACTGGACCCTTTATTACTACATTTTTTTCTTTTCTTTTTCTATTATTTTCCAAGAATTTTGTACCGCAACTATTTCAGCGCCGCAGCTTGTGTCCGCGAAGGCACAGTCTCTCTCAGCGACCAGAACGTGGTAGTGTTTGACTCTTGCATGTGACTTTTTAAATTGCATTGTTTCTGTACTTCGTTTCACGTTTGATTTTTTTTGTTTCGACATTCAGTTTTACACCTTGCGTGGTTTTACACTCTGAAACGGCATTCGTTTGAATTTCACGTACGGCCTGACACTTATTTACGTCGTGTACACTTTATTCACAATGTTTTTTTCTTATTATTTGTAATAGATTTTGTTGTGACATTTTCTTTGGGCGTGTGATGAGAGTCTAGCTATATGTTTTTTTTACGCAATTGAAATTCTAAAGTGAACAGACCACTCACTCACTTCAGCGAATAGAACCTTTTTTTATTCGTCCTTGAAGTAGCCACAGGTGTCTGTCGCCTACCTGTTAGGACAGGTGCAGTCAGTTCAGGGCGGTTATGTACTTTTATTCTTTTGATTTGTACAAGTGCAGTGGTACTTGTGCGTGAACTTACTTCCGTTACCGTTTTATTTGTGAAACTTGATTACCACCCTTTGTTTGTTATTTATTGCTGTTTATATTGGAAATACCAATATAAGGTATTTCCCACAGGCCGCAAATAGGTGAGATTTTATTACTATACTTGCAAATTTCGTATTACGGTATTTCCCACTCAACACAAATTGGTGAAATTAAGGTCGATTTCTGGTAACATTGTTCATATAGGCCTACCGTGCTATAGAGATGCTTCAGTTGAGAGTCATAGCACTTTTCCTTCCTGCTAAACTGGGTCAGAATCTTTTTTCGTGTGATGTTCCCCGCACTCTTTTTTTAATGCCTTATTATCGAATCACCTGTTTTATTCACACCCTTATCTGTAATCTCGCATCCATTACTGTTCATTTCCTGTTGCGTTGTCTTGTAGCATCTATTGTCAATTTCCATATATGTGTATATCTATCTATATCTGTATATATATGTATAAATATATATACATATATACATTTACTTACACACACGCACATATATATACATGCATACATATATATATACATATATATATATATATATATATATATATATATATATATATACACATACATATATATACATATCTATCTATATTTAAACACACGCACACACACACACACACTGTATGTATATAGTCCTCAAAACGCGACTTTGGAAAGTGTTCACCAGCATTTTATTTTCTAACGATTTCTCCTCTCCGTGACTACAACCACGAGAAACGTTCGAGATATTTATATTTTTTACTTTATTCTTTATCATAGATCTTGGAAGAATAAAAGGTCATTTATAATATTTTATCAGCGGGAAGGCGTCTCATTTTGAGTAGAACTGTCATCGCACCAGAAAAGTTGGAAAGATAAGCAGTTACACAATTTAATTAAAGGAATGCGACCACGCTTGAAATGGGACATGTGATCTAACTGGTGTATTTGTTCGACTGTTCAACGGATGTAATTAAATTATATTGTTCATGTTGAGATCATTATTGTCGTTGTTTGTATTGCCCATGTCTTCATTGTTGGCAACATCATCTTTGATATGATGATGATGATTATGATCATTGTGATTTTGATATTGTTTTTAATTTTCTTTACCTTTCATGCGGTTACAAATATCAAAACGTTACTATGTCGACTTGTTTTAACACCATCGTTCTCGTCTCTGTTGCTATGCGATGCCTTTCCCTTGAACCCGCAGCGAGTATCAAAAAAACAAAAAAACTTAGGCCTACTTCCTCGTAGAAAGCGAAGGCCTAATGATGGTCACTCGTTTATGGTGGTTGG